TCCACGTGGAAGTAAAATAATATAAGCCTCTTGCCTCAACAGTGCATTCATCCCATAGAAGGCCAAAGCCACTTGCAACCGGGGGAGAGATGGAAATCACGTTCCCACCGCGCCGAAATGCAGCTACCTCCACGTGCAACGTGTCGGTTGTTTTAACAGCACGCGGGAGCGGTGGAGGGCATCACCCTGAGCCCACTCGCCCTTGCAAGAGAGAAACTCATAGTCGCTTCATGGCACCAAGACCCACACGAGCCAGCAGTGGCAATTCTGCCTAATTATTAAGACAAAACACTTTCAGTGCAACACTTGAGGTTGCACCCAGCACCGGAGCCATGGGGAGCAAGGCGGAAGAGGAAGGAGAAGCGGAGAGAACAGAGCTGCCCATGTCAGAAACTTTCTCGCCCTGCAGCACGGCACAGGCATACGAATCCAGACTTCACAGGGGGAGCGCGCATCGTGTATGCACGGCGAGCCGCCGATACCCTACCAAGTGCACGCACAGCAACCAGAGAGTCAAGTACTTGAGCTGCCCTTTATCCATCTTAATGAAGTTCCACCGGAGCAACACCGGCTTCCAGCAGCCTGTTGTGTATTCCCACCCCCTCCATTCGAAACCGCACGTTTCGGCACAAAAATGCGGGGCGGAAAACACAAGATCTAAGGGCCCCGTTCGTAAACTACCTATAACTTCAGGGGAGCTTCATCGGCGAAACATGTTGGTAGTGCTTTGGACCTGCCGAGCTCCCAGCCTGCCCTGGCGTCAGACCCGTACGTGTGCGGAGCGCTGGCTTGCAGCAGCTGGGCGCTGTCTGCCTAAGCCTGATGTTGAAATAAAGCAGCATGTTGCTTCAGCTGAACGCTGACCCCACAGCCAGGCCATAGAGAGGGAGCCGGCAGGAACTGCTTGTTCTCATGTATGCAGTAACAGCGGCTGCAAAGCCAGAGCAGAGTGGGAAAAATAAGTAGGGAATCCTATGGAGGGGATTGGCCGGTGGCATCTCATTAAGATGGACTGGAATATCACCCACCCGTTGGGCTCCATCAGATCAACACTGATGGACCCAGCTCGGGAAGCCCCTAAAGTTGGCAGAAGTTGGGATGCAGACTCCATCGCCAAGCCCCCGTGAGAACCAGGCTAGGCTCAAAGGAAGTCTGGCATGGCTTGGCATGTGACTAATGACATGCCAAGGCATGGCATTACACCACAGGAGTGAACTTTTACTGGGTGGTCCTACCCTGCAGGCAGGACACCGGCTTCTAGCAGCTACTGAAAACCACCCATCAGCAACGAACCTCTTCTTGCATCACACCCCACCGTCATGATGGACCTTCCCAGCCCATGACTTTATCAGTTGACTGGACATTCAGGGCCATATCCTCAGCAGCTGAAAAGGGACACAGCTCCATGGGCTTTGGTGCCATAATATGGAGAATGGCTTCAATTTGGAGGCTACCGCCTGAAGTGATAGGAGGTGACAACTAAGCCCTTAATGTATCAGATCATTACCAGGTGCTGGAGAGCTGCCCAGAGGCTTGGAGCACATGGATCACAGGAGACACTGCCCTCTACTCCAGTGTGCCTCCTATCTGCCTCTGTGCAAGCTCCAACCCAGATGGCTGCCCAGGTGCCTTGCCCCATGCAGATGCACCCAATACAGATGCATGCGCCAGAAGGCCATGCCAGCTTCCAGCCATACAGCAACAAGGGGTCACTTTGAAGTGCCTTCAGAGGAGGAAGGATTTGAAGGCTCTTCCAAGCATCGAGGGAGGAAGGGGGAAGACAGGAAGGCCGAAGCTGCCAAAGCACAGCAGCAAGGAGGAGCTGGCCCATCTCGGGCTTGAGTTGGTGGGTGCAAACCCTGCTTGGCATTCAGGCGAGTTGATCCCCAGGAAATGACCACGTTTCTCCTGTTTCCAGCAGCCCTGGCTCATGGGGACAGAAACAGGGAGATGCTCTGGCCTTGGGTGCGACTGGGAGCCCAACCTGGGCTGGCACGCAGAGGGGTTGGCAGCAAACTCAGCGTTCTGTAGGGAGCCAAGAGTGAGCAGCTGCTAAAATCCAAGACTTTGATCTCTGCCCCCAAACCTGCCAGTCCCCAGTGCTGTGGCGGTGGCACGCAGGTGGAAGCTGGGGCCAAGGGAGAGGGAGGGAGTGCCGCTTCCTTGCTGTTTTTCCTGCATATTTCGGCATTTGCTGCCAACCTCCAGAGCGGTTTGTGCTGCTGGGAAGCTGCCGCATTGACTGCCCCAGATACCACAGTCCTCCAGATGGCTCGGTCCAACCACACCAATAAATGCACCCCATGCCAAGCCTGAAGCCCATAGGTCATCCCATTGATACACATGTGAGCTAAACTAGGGCCTAACACCCAGAGCGGGGGCAGTCCAATGTGCCAACCGCATCCACCCCAGCCATGGGCATCTCACCTGTGACAAGGAGAACCCCTTAAGGGGCATAGGAAGTGAAGTCAACTCCATAGCCGAGAAGCCTCTGGAGGGGATGGACTTGAAAAAGAAAGTCATGCTCCTAAATCCCTGAGGACACTCTAGAAACCACCCCCTTGGCCTTTCTGTGGAGATTTCCAAGCATGACACTATTGCCAGCAATTGTCCTGGTGGATTTGTATTGTGGGCACACCTGCCTGCCACAAACATGCTCCAAATTCTGCCCAATTCATCTCAGGCAAGGCGCCCAAGGGGCCACACAGCAGGTATGGCTTTCTACCACCCCCTCCCACAGATCAGTGACCCAAATGCATTTCCCAGCCCCGGCTGAGAAAGGGGGAAGAAAACCACTTGCAACTTCCATGATTCAACCTGCAAGAGAACGGGCTGCTGGAGAAGGCAGGGCTCTTCTGGCTGCTGTTTCAATGATCCCTCGGCTGATTGCCGTTTGACTTGGTGCTAATGAGATTAAACTGGGTGTGAAAGGCATTTTCTTTCCATACACAATGGAGTTATCCAAGGGGTTTTTAATGGGGGAAATTTGGCCAAATGAGTGCGATTGGAACATCTGCTCATCCCCTACTTTAAATTGGCTCTTTCAATGCCATTGTTAAAGCCGGCGTTGATTCCATCGCGCTCTGATGGTTGCGAGGGAGAAAGGAGAACGGTTTCAAGAAGGGTAGAAAGGATGGATTCTTTAGATCAAGGCCCCTGTTGTTAAGTGGGGATGAATTTTGGCCGACCGAACAGTTAGGTGGACACTAACTGAGCCAGAAAAAAATGCCCCATAGAACCGAATGACACAGAATTAATGGTCCCAGGTTCAATTAATTCTAATGATGAATCACAGCAGAACTTCACTGTGCTGGAGGGTGTTACACACAGCAGCTAAGAAAAAAAGCAGTGCCATCCCCCCCCACCCTCCAAGCGCTTACAATTCAGGGGCCAAATCTTGCAACCCTGACTCCAGCATAAATCCAATGGGCTCCAGCAGGGCTATTCATAGGAGTAAAGCTTTAGCAGCACAGAGCCTAATGGGGTGGGCAAAATACAGCTAACGGGCTGGGTCCGGCCTGCCAAGGGATTTTATACAGCTTGTGATGGGTCCCTTGGCCCTGCCTGGCCCAGGTGTGGGGGGCAGCTTGGGCTATGGCACGTACCGCCAGTCCCGTCACCCCCAGGTGTGCAGAGGGACTGAAGCAGCGCGGCAGCTGGACTCACTTCCAGGCAGCCCCTGCAGCAGCAGCTGCTTCCAGCTCCCGCTGCCAGCCTCTGCCACTGGACCCAGCCCTGATGCCTGGGTACCCTGGCCCATCCACCCTGCACTCACTGCCAGGGGCACTGGACAGAGCGGGCAGGCTGGCGGGTAGGGTCTCCACGGGATCTGCATGGGCAGGGCATGCTGGGCCGGGAGAATGGTGGGGAGCGGCATCCAGGAGTGGGACAGGAGCCAGGATCAGGATCACGGGGCAGTGACAGGGGCTGGGGGCCAGGGCAGAGCCACCACCCACTGCCTGCACGTCCCTGCGGAGGGTGCCGGGTCTGCAGGCACGAGTGTGCGGGGAGCAGACTGGCTCTGCCCCAGGCCCCAGCCCCAAAATCGGGGGACGGGACATGGCTGGTGCTGACTCGGCCTACGACAGCTCACCAAAGCTCCCTAAGTGGTCCTCTGGCCCAAATAATTGCCCACCCTGGTCCTAAGGGTACCTATAGCATGCTCTCCACGCACAGTTGCTACCCAAGAGTCAATGACTGCCAAGGGGAGCTTGCAGCAAGCAGGACTGTGCAAGGAGAGGCAGGTGAAATAGCACCGGGGGCTCAGGGAAGGGGCAGAACATCCTTGTTCTCTCTGTAAGGAGTCGCCAGAAACAGCACTGCCTCTGTAACACCTTGGCCCTGCCTTTACTAATTATCAGTGCTCGTTATGTAGCTCTCCTGAGCCCTGGAAGAGCAGATGGTAAAACCTCTCCCCCACAACGGCCAGGCAGGCAGCCGGGTGGTGCTTAATTACCAACTTCCTGCACATGCAGCGCGGGGACCAGCACCATGCCCAGCTCACCGACTGACTCATTTCTCTATGTTATTAAGCTAGCCACGTAGCATCCTCCTGTCCCTCCGCTGCCTCTGCACCCAGCGCTGGCTCAGCCTGCCCGTTCGCAGAGGCAGGGATGGTGGATGAAGCGCGCAGCTGGGAGAGCGGAAGACTGGGGTCTGTGTCTCACTTCGCCACTGACCCAGCGAGCGACCTGGGTCAGGTCCCCTCCACTTCCGTTTAAGCACCTGCAGTTTGCTTAGATGATAAAGCCAGTAAGGCAGGGTCAGCACTTGCTGGGATATCAGTGCCTGGCCCTACAGGCCCCAATTCCAGCTAAGGGTGCCCCGTGCTACTACTGCTACCACTACAACAACAAATTATTATGATAATAATAATAATAGTAACAACAAATGACGATGATGATGAAGACAATGATCGTTGACGATGATAATAATAATTTTAATAAATTACCATAATTTCTCACATACAACACACACCTTTCTTGCAAAAACCAGCTGCTGGAAATTGGATGGATGACCACGCTGGAGTTCAAGGATCCGTAGACACAAGTCAAGGAGCGCTAGCTGCACGCTCGGTGCTTACCAGCCCACAAAACCTGAGGGTGTGAAGGTACAACCGTGCTGCGGTGCTGGCGGAGAGGAACAAAAGGCACTGATAGCAGAGAGTGCTGGAGCACTCGGGGACACCACAAAGCATGCAATCAAATACCACATCGTGCAATCCCCCCAGCCCAATGCTAGGGCATTTCAGCAAAGAGGGTGCTGGCAGCTGCTGAGGGTAAAGCCCGAGCAGCCTCAGCCTGTGAAGGAAAGAAATGGGGTGGATGTGGACGGTGGGCAGTGGGTGCACAATCCCAACAAAGCTGGGCTGGTGACAGGCACTGCTAGGTCACCCAGACATAGAGACCACGCTACAGACAGTGGGGGGGCAGGTGAGCAGACAGGCCTGCCAGCACACAGCTCAGGCTGTAGCCAGAGACAGTATGATGGCAGGCAGGGCCTAAGAAGAGTGCAGGGCAGGGGTAATGCCATAACTGAAGCTAGGACTTCATTGACTGTATTGGGATGGAGCAGAAACCCTGGCTATGGCTGCTGAGAGCTGCATTTCATTGGTTGGCAAGCGTGGGAGCGTGGCTGATTGATGCCCCATGCCCCTGTCCAGCTGAGCTACGGGGCACGGGATGGATGAATCCACAGGCATGCAAAGAGGGGCAGAGGGGGCTCCACAAAGGAGCTATCAGGGCTCTGGGTAAGGGAAGGGGGCTCCACAGAGGAGCAGCACATGTCTGCCAAGCAGCAAGAGACTAAAAGGTTTTGCTTACCTGGCTCCAGAGCTGTTAAAACAAGACAGAGAGCAGGGTTTGCTCTGGAAAGGGACCCAGCATCAGAACCCAGCATCCACACAGCCCTAGCCTGGCGCAGAAGCTGCATCCTGGCGTTGTCTTGCTAGGAGCCTAAGGGGGAAACAAATAAGTGGGTGAGATGGGGAGTAGATTTGGGATGCCGCAGAAGGGTGAAGTGCAGGGGTCCCAGCTGCCTGGGGCCAACTAGACGGTTTTGCATGTAGCTTCGCTGAACGCCAGGTGGAGCTGAGAACGGGCCGGGGGGTTGACCCTACACCCGGGGTGCCAGCCTATCCCCCAGCTCTGCCCCCATCAGTCACTATAGCTTCTCTCTTCCACCCTGGGCAGGTAAACAGCCCGAGCATCTGCACGAGCAGCTCCTTGCCCAATCTTTGTACGGCAGAGAAAGACATGAACGAGCAATTCATCCACGGCTTGTCTATTAAAGGAGACTGACAGCTAGGCGCGGGGACAGAACCAGCCGTGGCTCTTGGTATTCCCAGAAGCATCAGCTCAGATCAGGCCTCACTGTGCCACACGCTGCACAGACCCAGAGGAGGAAATCGTCCCCAGCCCAAGGAGCTGACAACCCAAAGGGGCAAGACAGTGAAAGGGAAACTGAGGCACAGAAAGAACTTGCCCATGGTCACACAGGGAGTCTGTGGAGGAGCTGGGATCTGAATCAGGTGGCCCATACAGCAAGGGGGGAAAGGGAGTTATCCTGAAGGAGAAATGGTGAAGAGGAGGGAAGGCAATGAGGCATCGCCGACACCCGCGCCCACGGCCCCCAGCCCCGAGGCTGTCTTAAGCTGTTGCACCCAGCACGCAGCCCCTTGCATGACGGTGGCTCTCCCTCCTGGCCAGCCGCCCGGCCACCCTCCGTCTCTGCTCAGCTAGACGGTGGAGGACGGGGCATCCGGGCAAGGCTGAGGTGGCTTCCTCGACTTCAGAGAGTTGTGTCTCCCTTGAGCAGAAGGGCTCACTAATGACAAGAATTTCCAGCGCGGCAATAAAGGTACAGCTTCATTTCTCCGCTCCAGTGCCATGGCAACCTTTCACGACTTTGCTTAATTACAAAGACAGGTTTTCTCCCCTGGAGCGGTCACCTCCCCTGGGCCCACCCAGTGGGACGAGATGCACCAGGAGGAACTCTGGGCTTGCTAGGCAGAAGCGAGCTTGGATGGGAACGGAGGGCTGCAAAGCCCTTTCATTGCACCATGGGAACCCGCTGCTCTGCCTTTGCAAATCAGCAGATTGGCTGGAGGGGGGTACATAGGAAACCCCTGTGCTGAGCAGTACCATGAGCTGGGCCAGGGGTCTGCCAGGCTGAGAGCCCAGGACTTCCAGAGCTAAGGCTGGTCCATTCAATCCAGCATCCTGTCTCCAGTAATGCCTGTCACCGAATGCAACCGAGGAAAGTGAATCTTCCCCTAATATAGAAGTACTCAGCCTCCGGCCTATGGGCCGGATTCAGCCCATGGACCTTCCTGCAAGTCTGGCAGCAAGGGAGCAATGGCAGTGCTAATTGCCGCTCCCCGGCTGCCATACCTCCAGACCTGTGGGGAGCCCCCAGGCCGGGTGACGTGGGCCTGAGCACTCGATTATGCTGATGCAAGGTGGAGCCAGCACATGGGGTCATCCAAGGCTGGATCCAGCTGGTGTGCAGCTGGATGCAGCACTTGAGATCGGGCTGCATGTCAGATTGCACCCATGGACCAACCCTGCAGCGGATCAGGTTTGCAGACCGACCCCACGCATGGGATCCAGCCCATGGACTGGCCCCGTGCCACTCATTCCTTCCCTATTGCATCTAGTAATCCAAGCATCACTACAAGCGGTCATGTTCCTTCTTGACACACGCTGCCCTTGGCTTGCACCCAGGGCCATAGCAATGCCCGGCTGCCATGCAGAAGGGTGCGGTTGGTCCCACCCCATTACCCAGCTCTGGAAGAGGACAGGAAGCGGTGATTGACTCCTAATGACTTCCTGCAGCATCTCATTAGCTGCCGTTAACCTTGGCTGGACGGGAGGGCATGGCTCTGCTCCCGGTTGAGAGAAGTAGGGTCTGGGATAGAAGAGCCCTGCAGGGAAACTTGAGGAGTGGTGTCACCAGTGGGAGGAAGCATCGGCTGAGCTTTACGTTGCATTATTTCCACTGCTGCTCACAAATGCCAGGAAGTGGGTGAGCTTGGGTGCCAGCCCAGAGCGTAGGTGTTGTGTGCAAGGTGGGGGCGGATCTCAGCCTGCTGACGCTCGGGCTTTGATCGTTACTCAGCAGCCTTCCTGGGTACCACGCACTCTGCCATCTCCTTCTCACGACACGTCAAAGCCTTGCGCCCACCCGCACGCTGGGGAACAGCAGGGGTTCGTCCGCTGACCCTGATCAACGAATGCATCCCACATTTCCAGCACGCTGGCTGGTTGCCGCCCGCGAGCTGGCTGCACTTTGGGGGCATGGCTTGCAAACTCGTGTGGGCTGAAAGATGCTGTGGCAACACTCAGAGCCGTCACTCTGTGAGCCGTGTTATCATCAGTCATGAAATTACCCACCCTTTTTACAAAACCAGCCGGCCGGAGGAGCCCCTGCAGCGAGGGAGATCCCGAGCCAAGGCTAGGACTCCAGCACCGCTGCGCTGAAATCGGTGGAGCGATGCTGGCTGTGAGCCAGCGCAGTCGAGGACAGGGTCCGGTCCTGGGTGAAGAAGGAATTGCTTTTCATTTGCTGCCGTGAGCACCCGCTGGCTCCATCCCCTGGCTCCTTGCTCCCGGGCTCCAGGACTGATGGAGACAGAAGCTAGTCACACGTCACACTCACACGTCCCAGCTCGCTCCAAGGCAGGATCCCAACTCAGCAATGCAGTCCATAATTAGTAACAAGGGCCAGACAAGGATGAGCGCTCCCCGTCACAGACACACACCCTCCTGCACTCCCCGATAAGACCACGGGCTAGATTTTGCAGTGGTGTAACTCGGGGCTCACTCCACAAAAGCCAGTGGAGATGGTCCATAATTCCCGCCCGCCCCCATGACAACTTATAGAGGCATTTCACGTGTGCCGGTCTTGGCAGGAGGACCTGCTTGTTTCCTAACAAGGCTTCACACCTCCTGACAAATCTAACGCGGGAATAATCTCCGGCCTCCTTTGCCAATTGAGGAGGCCGGAGCTACTTCAGCAGCCGAGCTCCAAGCCTTGCAACGTGCGGCTTGAGAGCATTAGCAAGGAGAAGGAAGATTTCTTTTCTTCTGGGGGTGGTGTGTGGGCAGCAACCGGGCCATCAGGAAGCCACTTAGCTTCTAGATTAAGGCAACTGGATAAGCTCTTTTCAATTGACGGTGCTTAACAACCAATAGTAATAATACCAGAATCACGCTACGGCGTTCGCTGCTAGGTGGGGAGTGGGAGTTTGGGCAGGCGGGGGCTCACGTTCTGGCTCCCTGAAGGATCCATGCAAAGTCCAAGGCCTTGGGATTTAGACTCTCCGAGACTACCAGCACAATGCCTTTTCCCTGCGGCCGGGGAGAAAATACGGAGCGAAACAGTAATGAGGCTCCAATAGCCACGTGCTTTCCCGATGCTCTGATTGCCCAGAGAGATGGGCAGCAAAGTTTATCTGTCAGCAGGCGATTCATTAATGATTATAAACAATTATCCTCCCGCAGACACCGACCCCAGCCTTGCGCCGAGATAGCAGGTAACCAAGGAGGGCTAGATGGAGCGAGGCCATGAATGGTTGGCGAGGAATTTAATATCCGTATTGATCCGCCAGACAATCCAAAGCAGCCCTGTCTATCCTCCCAAAGCCCAACAAGTAATTAAGTGTTTGCTGTCTGAGTTCTGTCTCTCGGACCCAGCCGGCAGCTACAAAGGCTTTGCTTTTTATTCTGCACCACACAAGACGCACCCGGGAGCTGATTTTCCTGCATCTCCGAAGCGATCCTGAGGAATTTAATCACTGTTGCTCCAAATCCCCAAACACTCTCCGCTTATATGGGCCGGTGGTTCTGCCGAAGCCCATCTCTGCATTTCATCCACAATAAAGAGGAAACCTCCTCCTGCCCCGGGAGGTCCCTGGACTCTGTGTCTAGGAGCCCTGATTTATGGGCAGCCCCTCTGCAGAGAGCAGCCCGTGACAGTCTCTTCCTTGGCGGACAAGGCTGTTAGCCACCATCGGGCATCAGAAGTTTTGGTGACTGTCAGCACCCGGCACCTGCCATTGAAAACAATGGGGACTGCTCACAAGACCCCCTCGGGCGAGAACAATAGGAGCTGGGCTCCTTGGAAAACCTAGCTGCACATCTCAGGGACTATGTTGCCTTCCCTCTCCATCAAACACCAGCAGTAATGGTGGGAGATGAGCCAAAAGGAGGATGGATCTCAGGCTAGACGCAAGCAGAGCAGTGCTCCCCTCTCCACTGGTACCACTGATGGAGAAATCAGGGGGTGGAGGAAATTGAGGACTGGCTCCACACAGGCGTCCCTGCAGATCAGGGTGGCAAGGGGGTGTTGGGGGCCTTCCTGCCACTGCCAGCATGTCTGCAGTGAAAGCGGACTCCCCTCCTGGATGGCTGAGCCAGCCCCAATTCGCAGTCAAAAGGAAGGGGTAATCCATGCCTCACCTTCCTCGGCTGAAGTACTGCCTCGGGCCTGCTCCAGCCTGGGTCAAAGTGTATACCATTGCTGATGCTGCTGGGATTCGCCTTTAGTTCTGCTGGTCACCCCATGCTCCACCAGTGATGCCAGTGGTGCTTGCATCTGCATTCGCTCCACGTCCATCACGCCCAAGGCTGCCACCAACCACCAGAGAGGAGCCACATCCATCCCCCAGGCTGGATTTGAACCAGCATCAGCGGGGCTGGAAAGAACACCGCAGACCTTGCTTGTTCTCTCGGGCTCCCTCTCCCACCAGAGACGACGGAAGAGCCAGCCAGGCCCAGCAGGTGCTACGGAGGGAGAGAGCAGGCCAGGCAAGGCGTAGGAGGAAGCCAGCAATGAGGACATCAGCAAAACTGCTGCCGGCAAGAGGGGCCGCGCCAGGCTGGGTGCACAGCCCGCTTGCCTCGAGTCCCATCTGTCGTGGCTGTTATT